GGGGCCCTGCTTGCCTTTTAATTTTAAAGGGGGGGGGGGGGGGGGGTGTTTAATGGGTGTCCACCCACCTACAGAGAACAGCCTAGTTTCTTTGAAGACACGTATTTATTATTTATCTGTCATAATTGCAAGTGTTCTACATTTAGCACTGTGCAATTATTTCAAAACCAGAGCCCCTATGGACCATTTATCTGAATAAGCATTTTTACAATTTTACCCCCACCCCCATCTCTTTAGTTCCCTAATCATGGTAATTATTCTCATATGTTTTCTGCCACCTGAAAGCATTCTTTAATTGCATGATACTTTATAGTTTTCCTCCTACCATTTAATTTTATTCTCCCTGTCTTGCTTGTCAATAAAATCGGCATCCAAATGTTGTTTAAATGTTGGTCTCTTGGTGAGCACCAAGGAGAGTAGAGAATTCAAAGTGGTGTAGTGTTGTCATACTAGATAATGTGGTTTGTTTTTATGTCTGCTGAATAATTCATTGTACTTCTGTTAGAAGCACTGGAGGCATTCCTTAGAGACCGCTGGGTACCATGCTATCACAACTAGGCCATTGTTATCTAAATCAGATTAAAGCAGAGAACCGAAATTGATCACAGTTGGTAAATATATATATTTCATAACCAAGTCACTCACTCCCATCTTCAGCTCAAAGACATTAATATTTTGAATACATGATGCCTTTCCCTTATACAATTTGTTAAACAGTTTTAATACTGAGAGCAAGTACCCTGCACTTAATACCATTCAAGCAAATACCATATGTGACCCTGGACCACAAAACCAGTCATAAGTATCACGGGTATATTTGTAGAAATAGCCAAAAATACATTGTATGGGTCAAAATTATTGATTTTACTTTTATGCCAAAAATCATTAGAATATTAGGTAAAGATCATGCTCCATGAAGATATTTTGTAAATTTCCTACCATAGATATATCAAAAATGTATTATCATTAGTAAGAAGCATTGATAAGGACTTCATTTGGACAACTTTAAAGGCGATTTTCTCAATATTTAGATTTTTTTTGCACCCTCAGATTCCAGATTTTCAAATAGTTGTATCTCATCCCAATAATGTCCTATCCTAACAAACCATACATCAATGGAAAGCTTATTTAAACAAATTGACCTTTATGACTGGTTTTGTGGTACAGGGTCTCACAATAATTTTAAGTTATTGAATGATTATCAATAAATACCACAACTCAATTATATCAATAAATATGTTTGTATTTATTTGTGTATATATATATATATATATATATATATATATATATATATATATATATATATATATAAAATTTATATATATATATATTTTATATATATATATATATATATATATATATAAAATTATTTTTTAAATGAATAACAAATATGTCTGAAATCACATAAAATTAAAAACCCCATGATATAATAAAATTAGCAACAACGTGCCATCTTACTCCCAAAAAAAATAAATAATAATTTTAAAAAATATCATACGCATAAAATATGCATGGTTTACATAGGATTTTGTGCCATCCATAGTAAAGAGGATGTAAAAATGTAAAAAATGTATACACTGTTATGATTGGCTAGACTTTTCTCATGACATAAAAAAAAAACCTTACTTATGTCCAGAGCCATTGAGAAACGCCTCATCATTCAATAACATTCAATAATCATCTTTTCTCATGATATGATCCCTATATAATGCTTCATCAAAAAATTCTGTCATTATTTACCTTATGCCATTTCAGGATAGTATCCTTTTCCTTCTTCCGTGAAACACAAGGATTTTAGGCAGAATGCTCTTCAGTGAAAGTGGATTATGACTTTAAATGTAGAGGAAAAAAATCATAAAAGTAGTCCAAAGGAATGGTGAACAATTTTCCAAGTCTTCTGAAGTGATGTGAATGTTTGTGGGAGAAACAGAATGTAATGTGTACATTTTCAGCTCTTGCATTTCGGACATTCGCGGTCTCGTTCAATTAAAAAATGGCGCCTTTGGAGGGCTTTTGTACATTGACGTCATTGACGGCAAACAGCATTGGTTCACATGTGTCACATGACCAATTGATTCGGGGGGGGGGGGCTTTAAAAACGCTGGAAGTTGATGGTTGAGGGCGACGAGACATAGCAGTGTTATCAGTGAAAAAAAAAAAAACTCTCCTCCTCACACATTGCTATCATATGAATTTAGGAGGCTTGGGATGTTGTTTACCATTTTATGGACTACATTTACGACCATTCTTTGTGTTTTCTTGAGCTTAGTGTTATCCCCATCCACTTTCTTTGTATAGCAAATGCAATGACTGGATAAAATACTGCATTGGAGCATTTATTCCTTTAATATTTATTGATATTTACAATGCTTGCTTTATAAGATCGAACCATTTTGCACTATTTGAAGTTTAATAAAGTCAATATTTCGGTAGTTATATCACTAAAGGTAAAATTACGTCTTTAACAGGTTTCCAGAAAAATCTTTAACATTGTTATGTAACAGTTTTTTACATCAGGCGTGTTAAGAATCAGATGATATGCTAGACAAATATGCATGAATTCAATGTAATGTCTATATTTTCATGCCATAGGTGTCAACTGCTCTGAAATCACTGGACATCAAAATTGCAGTAAAGGGTGCAAAGAAGGAGCTTGTGTACAAGTCTCATCAACTTCCTACAGATGTCAATGTTTCACAGGATATACAGGCAAGTATGATTGCAAATTTTGCTTAAAATCAAAAACATTCAGTTAGAAGTCTGTTATAGAAAGCCACTGTGAATTATGCACTTTACGTTAGAGTGATATTTCCTCTGAAGGCCAGTAAAGGATGTTTAATTTTTTACTGTTTGGCTTCATTTGACTCATTATGTTTTGATTTGATTAATGATGGGTCATTTTGGGTGCCTTCAAAATAGGCCTGGGCGATAAAATGGTATCGATATTTATCGATGGTACATCCTCTTCGATAACGATATAAAAAATGTTCGATATAGCGCACGATATAGGCACATGCTATGAGTGACGCAGACAGCACACAACAAACACGAACATCAGTGCTGTGCCTGCCTGTGATGAGGAGATTGTGAATATGTGAAAAAATGAATATTAGTCTAATTTAAAATAAACATTTGCATTTGAATGTTATAGTGCGTCAGGGAGCAGCATCAGTGGTACAGGAGCAGTGATAATGATGTGACATTGTTGCATTTGAATGTTTTGTTAAGTCTAGCCCACGAGATGCACCGCTGCTGTGCTATGCATTCAAAATATTAGAGAAATATAGAAGCTTAATGCAGAGAAGATCTTGATTAGGTGAAATTTTTTTTCATTTTTTAGACGGACAAATATGACTGCTGCACTCGCGTCCCACACAAGAGATGTAGCCATGCAAAGTTAAAACAGTTTAAACTTTTAGAAAACACGTCGCAAATTTGTGGAGGTTTATTCCTTTTCACTGCGTCTCATATGTTTTTAAATGCAATCTGCGTGATGGGCGATTCGGCTCTTTGTATTAAGCAATGCATAAATACATGATGCTGTTTTGTTCATAATTGTTTATGTAATTTACGAAATTATATTTGATTTACATGAGTTAATTTAGACGTAATGCACATTTTTTATAGACAGTTATTTCCTTGCATTGACAATTTAAATAGGCTTCATTATTTTGCTCATTGCACCCTCCTGTGGCCTCGGGAGACAAGCCAAAGATTTCCTTAAGACCTATTTAATCTGCATATAAAACTAGATTAGAAATTAGATATTTGTTTAATTTTTATTGTGTGTTTGACTTTTAAAACAAAAACAATGTTTGTTGTTTGTCTCAATAAATTGGGTTAATTTAAAAATACAGTGGTTAAATTAAAAAATATATATATTGCTCTTTGTTTTAAAAAAGGTCATAAATAATGTCAATAATTATCAATACCGAACAATATGAAACATTATATCGTTGATACATTTTTTAGCTATATCACCCTGCCCTACTTCACAATGGCAGCGCAATTATGCAAACTCAAATCTGAGTGAGGCTTTTTCTATCTCTGCCCACAGTAAGCTATCTTTCCTAAGTGAAGAAGCTGATTTAAAAAATGGAACAATTGAAGCCTTTATATAAGAAAGCCTTCGGAAGATTCTGGCCAATTATTTAATAAAGGCTTTGGCTGTGGCTTATTTGAGTGATATGCTCAGGTTGATAAAACTCATGAATGGGGCTTTTCCTGTAGAAAAGAGACAGAAATAAACAATTTATGCTCCTGTGTCCTTCCCAGTCTGTTTATAAGGCACGACCATGACATGCTTTTGGAAAGTAATGAGTCTCATTTGCTTCTGTAAAACCATTGCTGGGCTAATGAGCATCTCACCCACAAATGTGTAACAAAACTTTCACCATCCCTTGGGTGTTCCTGATAATAACATCATGATAAAGTCTCCAGTCTGAGGTCCAGGTGGCCTTTGCTTGTTGATTAATTTACTTTTGTGTAGCGGCAGTTTGTTCAAGCAGATAGCAGCCTTTAATGCCATGCCTACAGCTTTAATGTGGAAGGAAAAATTTCCAGTTTGTCTGACACAGATTTACGGCTATCACAGTTTATGATGAATTTCCACTTGAGATTCACCATTCACAGTAAATCGGCCATGGAACACTTGCCATCTGCATCACGGCCTCTTTTGAGAATACCATCAGCTTCAGTGTTAAATAAAATCTAATATTATTTTTTAAGTGTTTCTAATGCTTTCAGACAGGCATGGTCTTTTTGAATTATCTGACGCAAATACATTTAGTAGTTTGTAAGTTGCAATTTAATTTTTGTAAACCTGATCCACACCACATAACTATGTGGTTTGAAATTCAATTTAAAAAAAATTAAATTGTAAAAATGTCTAATTATAAATGTCATATTGTAAAATATAGTCTAATTGGTCAGGAATGATTTTAACATTATCATAAACATTTTACACACTTTTATCATTCTGTTCACTTTATTTAAACCATTTATTTTTGATTTAGCTCCACTGTATCATGTTTCTTGTTCAAACATGATTGCTTCATGTTAAATTGACTTGAAATGGATATTCTTTGGCATTACACAGTGTTTACATTTTCAAACAACCTGTTTCAATCAAGTAGCTCAAATAAAAAGGACACAAAAAAATAATTTTGCTGCTTTTTCAGTTTAAGGAAAACAAATAAAACAAGTCAATTGTTCATCCAGTATTGAATAGTGAATACATGAATGTGTAAATACAGTTAAGCATCTGATGCTTTTGTTTTATGGTTTAAGAGTTACACTGCTTAAAAGTTCAGCACTGCGGTAAAATGTGACAACTTTATGAGTAACTCCTTGTTCCCTTTCATGGGAACTTCGAACTGCGTCCTCTAGGGGTCGCTATGGGGAACGCCTCGTCGTGACCCGTGTCTGAAGCATACATTGAAAAAAACACCAACTCGTTGGCCGGCGACAGCCATGACGTCACTACCGGTGCGGGTGTGAAGCTCACTGTTGGACATTAATTCTTCCTGAAGTATTCAAAAAATCTTAAAATGCTGGTAGGGTTTTGAGAATTAATTATTTGCATCTGATTTGCCTTAACCGCAGCCATATTTGACTAATATTCAGCTCAATTAGACAGAACTGTTGCACTGTGACGTCAGTACATCAACACAGTCTCTCACTGCATATTCTTGAAGCACCTTGTAAGGAAGTAAAAGCAACTGGTCTCCAGTTCTGCTCTGTTTGGCCCCCTGTGGGGCCAGCAGCTCTCTGACTTTGCCCAAGCTGTCACCCCATTAATCACAGTGAAGTTAACGGTTGGCCCGGTACCGACTGCCCTTACGGACCAGAGCCTACACACATAATAATGAGCCCCACACGTGGGACACTTCAAATGAGATTTTCTTTTGATTCCACTCTCATGTGTACCTTATTCAGACGGCCAGGGGTGTTTGTATCCACATGTTATGGAATTAATAGGATATGCCCTATTGGATACACTATTATTTTTACTGTTCACCTGCCTCATGGTTTTTGTGGAAATTCAAATGCTGTAATTGTCTTGTTTCTGAGTGGTTTAATAGCAGGTTGGCTTTTGATTTGGATGGGTGATATCTCAAAGAAGTGCACAGCAGGGTGTCAAGATCCGTTTCATATGACTACTTTTTTTTAATGATTTTCATCAACCTTATGAAGTCATTAGCCTTTATCAAACATTGAATCATGTACCCATATGATGCATTTACTAATGCAAAGACCTCCTACGAGGAAGGGTAGCCAATCAAAGATAGTTCTTGTGGAAGAATAAAATAATATGTTGAGCTTTGAGTTGTTTAATGTCAAGAGCTTTTCATTTTCAATTTCCCTCTGTGGATCCCAGTGAAACACCGCAGAGAGATGTACACTTAGACTGACGCCCAATGGTGTGTCCTCAAAAGCAATTGGGCACCTCTGGGACTGATGACCTTTGTATCGTTCTGTGAGCTTAACACGCTAGAATATGCTTTAAAAAACTGAAAGACAAAAGGAAAGGAAAACACAGTAACAAGGAAGATAAATGAGTTAGCTCCTACTGAGGAACATGGAAGGGAAAAAAAGAAAAAGCAAACAGAGCACCACTAGGGAATAAAATCAAATCATGTTCACCTTGAACCTACAGTGCTGCATAGACAAGTCTAAATTTAACCTACGAGGAGCGGAAATCAGACTGATGTTCCCATCCACAGTTACCTAGAGGAACCAGCAGCCTAGATGTTCTCGGTCCAAAACCTTCCTGTTTGATCGGGTTGCTCGGTTAAGGCAAGATGGGGACTTAATATGGACCCTTGAACCTCCACATTAGTGAATCATTGAGAAAAGCGGGAGGGCGATGAGCTTTATATTCTCATTTTTCATCAAACCAAGTGAGAGCCATGGGACGCCACGCTGAGACTCTTAATACTAGTGATATGCTGGAGCAATTGTCCACTCTCATTGCAGTCGTAAAGTTTGAACATTTGTTTTCACTAAGCATTCAGAAGCTAATAGTTATTATAAAGATGATTTGGAAGCTAAAGAGCAGCTGTGTTAAATCAGATTAGTAATGTTTTGAATGCAATTTAAACATGATTCTTTCTATAATTGCATTTTTTTTCCCTTTTAATTTTCTTAAAAGCCCTACTAGAAACACATTAAGAAACGGTAAGCAGAAAACATACTGTAATAAAATAAATAATGACATATATTCAGCTAAGCGAGAGATCCCGAGAGGGAATGTGCTATTGAAAATCCCATTACGGCTGTGATTTGATCTTTGGCACAAACCTAGCATAAGTAAAGACAAAAGTAAAAAAGAAACAAAATTTCGGGTATAATTTTTTATTATCTACACTGTGATTTTATCAGCATGATTTTATGCACAAATGCTTGTATACGCACAGTTAGCGAATCAGACCTGGTATCTAAATCAAAAATGCTTTGACAGAAGCATGTGTTTTCATTCATTTTAATTATGATCATTTCATATTCATTTATTCATTCTCAATAAATTCCTTCATTGCAGGTACATTTTGTGAGCGAAAGAGGCTCCTCTGCGATTCAAACCCGTGCTGGAATGACGGTCGCTGTGAGGAGACTGCTAATGGATATGTTTGCACATGCCCAGGGGGTTTCACAGGCCTCAACTGTGAGACCACCACTCAGGCTGACAGCTACTGCAAGTCTAACGGATGTCAACTGGACGAAGCTTGTGCCACAGACAAACTTGTGAGGCCTTTTCCTTTTTTCTATATTTCTCATAATGCTGTTTTTTTTTTTTTGCCTGAGAGAATGTGATTAATTTGAAATGCCACATGCAAATGTCTGTGACACTCCTGAAGCGGATCAGCCTGTGTCACGTTGAAGGTTGCAATAACCATTAATAATTGTTTTGATAGCAGAATGGGCATGGTATATGCAACTTTTTTTATTATTGGACTTGAGCAAGCTGTTACATATTCATTATAGAACAAAAAAATTAATTATGGGACATTTCTGTCATGTTCACTTAGAAATGTTTCCCCAGATTGTTACAGTTACAGTCTGCTGCTCATGAGCCATTACTGTTATGAAGAGATGAATTTAGAAGAAAGTGGCCCAGTGGCAGACTAATTGTCTTAAGTGACCTTCATTAACTCGGTAGTGAAATTCAGCACATAGGGCTGTCCGTAGCAGATTCTCATGAGATGCTTTAGTCATTTGAGAGTATGGACAGTAAAGATAGACTTTAATCTCTCTAACACACATACACACACTCAGACACATTAAATTGATTTGTTTGACATTGATTTGGTTTGTCTGAGACATCCTCCTAAGAGAGATCATCTGTATGAAAATGAAATAATCCTTCACGCCGCTCTAGAACTGCATTGATGCTTATATCAGTGGGAGTCTCTATCTTACTTTCATCTGGGATTGTTCTCTGCTTCTATTACTCCTCTTTGAACGACTGAGTCAGAAATATTATTAATGTCAGGATCGGTTAGTGCAAGTTGGAGCGCAGAACTGGCTAATGACTTGTCTATTGTTCTGCTTTTTCAGCTCTGGATGTCTCAGTGCTGGTTATTTCCCTGTTTTAACATGATCAGCTCAAAAAAATGTTGTTTGTCCTGTAGGAAGATGTCCAAGTTTAACGACAGAGTGTTTGTGCTGTTGCCAGAGCCGGTGTCCAATCTGGTCCTGTTTTGCGCATTTTCTCTGAAATAAAGGTCTCAAATTAGGAAGCAGTAGTGTCAGTGGTTGCGGTACAGGATAATGTCAAGTTTTTGAAACAACTCAAAACATAAAATAAAACTAAATCACTCCTGTTTTAATCAAGTCTGTTTACTTCAAACAGAAACAAACTTTTCTTGTCTCACTGTACTGCTACTGCAGTAGGTTTATTGAATTTATCTATATTAAAGGGGTCATATGATGCGATTTCAAGTTTTCCTTTCTCTTTGGAGTGTTACAAGCTGATTAAATGGTTTCATTTACAAATAGAACATCTGAATTTTTTTATTCACTTTTATTTTATGGCTGACCATTACATCAAGGCCAACTTGTGAAGGTATGAAACTAAAAAATTACTTGGAATGTTTAAATTTGTTCTCAAAACTAGGAGTAAGACTCCTATATAAATAAATAAAAACTTTGATGCATTATGTTTATTTACGGCTGAATTAAATAGTCAGTTACTCTGTTTAGCTTTCAAATTAGTGGAAATGGGAGTTTGCAGATCCCTTGGGACAAGCTCCAGCTCTGGCCAAACCCCAGTACTATTTTGGTGGAAAAATGTTAAATGATGCAGATATAATGGTGTTCAATCTCACCAGTATGTGATTAGATTTCAGCATGTTTCTCCACTTGACACACAACTAACCGTCCTTGGGGTGGTATTTTTCTTCTATGCAGAATTCCACATGTGTCTGCGTAGGCCCGGAGTGCTCGGAGCAGGCAGAGGTGTGTGGCACTTTGCCCTGTCTCAACGGTGGCATCTGTGTAGTTCAGAATGGCCAGTATCATTGCAGGTAAGAAGCTCAGGTCAGCAGGGTTGGCATTACTGATCAAGGCATTTTTATTTTAATTTCTATCATTATTATCATTTAATTTTATTGTTAATGAATCTTTAGTGCATGTTAGTTCAGTGTCAGAGTTGTGGTGGTCTGTTTTCATGCCCATGTTGTGCTCTTATTTTGAAGTTTGATAGCTTGCTCTTATCTGTGTTTATGGTTTGTTCCCTTCATTGATCCGAAGTGTATGTTGTTTAGTCTTGTTAACCTATTTGTCTTGTGTGTGTTTGACTTTATGCGATTCTGCACAGACCAATCTACATACGACTTGTACCAGTGCATGTTGATAAAAAATGTTGTCTGATGTCAGACAGTGCCATTTCCACATTACAGTGCTTCACTAGAGCGGCTGTGCAAGCTCTGATGATGGCACGGCTATTTCACGATTGGCCAGGTTCAGTGATGACAACGATAGAGTGCGTTTCATGTTTATTCTGACACCTGCAGCTTCCCAAATGCTCACAAATCAGTGTTTTTATAACAGTAGAATATTTTTATCTTGTACTCTTAATGCTGTATTTTTTACAGTATTTTGTGTTTATCAAAATAAAATGTATAAAAATATAGACCCCACTTTAGTGGTATTCAAATACCAATTTGCTGAACTATATCATTTTATATACAGGTGCTGTTTCTGGTTGCTTCTAACGACTAAAATACCTGGGGTGTATTCCAGAAAGCACGGTTAACTTACCATCAGCTAAACCCTGAACTTTCAGTTGATTAACCCCAAACCTTGCTTACTCGAGGTATGTGGTTCCAAAAACGCGTCCGGTTGTAAGTTCATTCAACTCAGAGTATGTTCCTGGTTAAGACTCAAGACATTCTCAACAGAGCCAGGAATCGACGAGTCACTATGGAAACGGACACTAAGAAAAAGCGTGCCATGCTGTTTCTTTTTCTTCTTTTGTTCAATGGTCGTTTACATGCTCAGTTTAATCTTTAATCCTTGAGAATATGAATTATATTGTTTGTTTGATGCTAATTATATAAGTCATATCAGATATGTATTTTGATTTAGAATCTAGACATTATAGAAAATGCCGATCCAAGTGTGAGATGATAATATAAAATGTAATAAATAAATATATATAATATAATAAATTAAACATTACCTTGTCATAGTGTTTTATAATATATACAGATAACTATTACATATGCCAATAAAATAAATATAATAATCATATTAGAATAATATATTACCTTATTTATTTATTACTTATATTAGTGCTTCATCATTAACATATCATACAACATATCGACTCCGGAGCAGGTTATCTTCAGAGAGCAAGTTACTATAGTTACTTACACACCCTGAAAGTAACCTCCGATTTTGGAACCGAAAACTTTTTTATCCGCTCTCTTATCCTCAAACATACCCGGGTATGTCACATAACCTGCTTTTTGGAATACCCCCCTGGTCTTGTCCTCTGTAAACTTGTTTGATTGGTTGGTTGGTTAGTTAGTCCCTGTTCATGGTTTATATTTTACAAATTTAAGCTCCACTTTAAGCTCCTTGCCCTATGTACTCTGGGACACACTTTCTTGTTGGTCATGTAATGTTGGTTTCTTTACAGAAGTAAATAGGCAGTGAACAGGATTTCACATTGATTTTTACATTGTTTTGTGTGACCTCACATGTCTAGAGGCCTGCAAACTAGAAAACTAACCAGTCAGCATTCATTCTGAATTCTCCTTCTGAATCATTTTGTGCCTTTGGGTTTGATGACACGTCTTTGAAGGCAGAGTTTTGGAAGAATCGTTTACAGTATAGCACCTTTTCATAGTTTGTTAATCAAAGGTATTCATTTAACACGAATTTGATCAATTGCTTTGTGATGAAATTTTGAACCACTGAATATCATGTATGCTGTGACTGTGTATTTTTCCTTGGTATATGATTTTACTGGCCAGAAATAGGAATACAGTCTATAGACAGTGAAATGTTCATTAAATTTCCATTGGTAAGGTTTAATATTCAGCCTGTGACAGCTTTTGAATTACTTCCTGCTGATAATGAGGGAATCCGCTACAGTTGCGGCTGCTTTATGAGTTCTTCCATTCCTTTGGGGGTTCATAGCTATGTCTTCTTTTGCTCCTGCTCATCTTTCTAATTTTTATTAGCAAAGATCACTTGAATCAATACATTTGATGGCCCCTCTGACTAAATGACAAACGAAAGATAAGATAGGGATTGAAAGAGGAGAAATGAATTAAAAATTGAGCATGACTAGAGGATGATAGAGTGTGTAAAGAGAAGGAGAGATAAAAGCAAAAGCAGCTGGTCACCTGGGAGTCTGTGTTAATAATTGAGTGATTTTGCCTTTGTGTGACAGAATAAGATCACTGAAGTCTTATCACAGCAGAAGGAAGGTCATGATCTGACTAAGGCCAAAGAAACAAAAGGATATTCTCTATTTATGAAGCATGTGTGCCAGAGGTTGAACATTTAACAGGCATCCTTGTCATGTGCTTGCTTAAAGGATCTTTTAATACTCCACAAGGTGCATAATGGTCATTATGAGACACCTGTAACATCTAAAAACAGCATGAAAGTGCCTGCATTCATCCCATCATCACTGATTGTTACTCTGGGTCATTTTTGTTCTTAGAAGTCTATTTTCATATGTGGCTAAAGTTAATGTCATATTCTTGTAGATGCCGACAAGGTTTTTCCGGAAAGAACTGTGAAGAAATAATTGACTTCTGCAAGCTGCTCAATATTAACTGCCTGAATGAGGGATTGTGTCTCAGCCTAGTTGGAGGATATAATGTAAGTAACCTAATTTTTGGAATGGTTAATTTGTACAATAAAATACATAAAAAAATTATTTCAGATAGCATACATTTCTTATATTGCTCCATTATAGAGAAGCTAAATCAGAAACCTTAGAAGATTAGAAGAGGTAATGGAAATGTTAAAAGTTGGGGGAGAAATGCTTTCTATATATACAGTATATTACATATACATATACAATATTTGCATTGTCATTTTGGGTAGGAAATCAAAGGAACACAATCTGACTATACTTTAGTATAGTTCCTTTGATTTCCTACCCAAAATGACAATGAATGCAAATAAACATCCCAACAAAAATCTCTCCCCATTTCAGTGGCTAATGCACGTCTATTAATTTATAACAGTTCTCAGTCTTTCAGTCACATTATGGCATCCTTCATTTATGCTTGTGTCTCAAGGTTTCAGCCATCCTCTTCTATTTCAATATCATCTTTCTGTCACTCCCATCAACAGATCTGCTCTTTGAGTGATGTGTCTCAGTTATACACTGTCTATTGATGCAGTCGCATCTGTTTTTGTTATGAAGTGCTCTAGAATATGTGCTTCACATAAATTGATTTACTTGAAGTGCAATTTGTTAAACTATAAAAATTGGAAGTTCATACATGGGGATCTGACACAGTCATGCAAAGTGTTTGCATGTATGAACATACATGCTGTTTTTATCATGGAAAAATACTTTTGAAGCAGTGAATGACCTATGATTGATCCTTCATTAATCAGAATAAATGTTTATTTTACAGGTATAAAAAGCATAAAATGAGGCCTGAAAAAATATCTACATTCTCAAAAATGAAGGAAAAAAATTGTTTTTGAGTATGTCAGCATTAACTTTGAAAGATTAAGTAAAAGTTTTCTATTTTATGTTACAGTGAGCTGATAACATTCTGGGAAGCTCAAAATGTGTTCTTGAAGACATTATGGCTGATGTATATGACTTTACTTAAAATAACCTGGGAAAAACTGCACAGATACTGTTGTGCATTGGAATTTTAAAGCACTCTTTCTCTGCAGAAATTTCTGTGATGTATGTAAACATTGGTTATTATAAGAGCAGATTTGGTTAGTGTGCTGTTTGGAGACATCTGGTTGTTTAATTACTAATCACTGTCATCCTTAATTAAAACTTTGACATAGTCCAGGAAACAGGCCACATTTCTTCATTAGTAAATTGGTGAAGAATCTGTAGGTCATCAGCAACATTTTTCTTCTTAAATGTCCTTTTCCCCCTCCTTATACTTCTTAAACTCTAATTTGCTATATAATTGCCTTCTGAGTAATGATTCTTAGAATTGCCAAGGGCTTAATTAGCTAGGAATTCTGATTTCAGGATATTTAGTACAAATTAATTTGTAGACAGCAACATAGGGGATTGGAAAATTGAATTACCTTTTCATCAAAGCTTGAATGCAAGTATAACCAAACTATAAGAATAATAGCAGCAATTCTATATGCTCTTTATTTAATACATTATTGTACTGTATATGCATTTAGTGTTTTGCTGATAGATTGAATATCTAATAATTCAGGTTAATTACTAAAACATATTTTCCCCCCACAGTGTCTCTGTGCACCAGGATGGACGGGGGAGTTTTGTCAGTACTTGGATAACGCATGCTTAGCCTATCCAAACAGATGCTTGAACGGAGCTACTTGCATCAGTATGAGTCAGCCAACTGCACCCCCGCACTATATGTGCACCTGTCTCCCTGGATACACAGGTTAAAAGAAAACTATATCAACAAACTCCAGAATATGTTATCCTGATTAATGTTTGAGTTTGCACAGAGTTTGGCAGCAGAAGCTTTTTAAAGCCACACTCAGATGTTTTTTTTTCTACAGTAGGGTTGGAGAAGAGAATTATTGTCACGTTTTCATGCAGTGTCGGAGATTGCATAGAACAAAAATTGTTTTCTTATATATCAGCTATATCCGTAGAATTCTGAATATTGAATATAAAATATATCTGTCATCCACCATATGTGTTATTCTGGTGACATTTTTGAGAAAGTTACATGCCACTCAGACTTGAGGACTTGAGGACTGAATTTAAAGTCCATTTGAATCCCAATAAAAAGATTGGATTTGAAATAAGGTAGCAACCTGGATACAAAATTTGATTTTGAGTGAAAAGAAACTTCTAAAAAATATTATTATTTTTTTTATATATATTTAGGTTAATTTCACAGAATCCTCTACTTTACCCAAACCTCTTCAAAATGGAGCCAAGCACTGATGTATAACATGTGCATTTATAAGTTCATATCAATATTTATTTTTTTGTAAACAATGTGAACATTTAGTGGTATTGGTTGACAAAATTCAAATCTATTTAGATGCATGTTGTTTTTTCTGACAATATTGAACATTGCAATCTGTAGAGAGGAAAACGTTCTGCCTATCAGAAAAAAATAGGCATATTTAGTCCAAATTAATAGTGTAATTATGTTTTGTTACAAAATTTCTACACAGTTCAGTAAATTACTCTTCTTGTCATTCAATATTCTGTGGGGCATGGCCAGTTCTATTCAAATTCCAACTCATGAATTTGAATAGGAGCCAGTTCTGAATTTTGCCCTAGCCTGAATAACACAGTTTCATGCCTAACATCTATATCATCTGCTGTAATGTGATTCAGAGTGTGTGTTCCACCGAGACAAGTCCCACTGCCCTGAGGCATCTCTTTACTGTAACTCATCTTTGCACATTGCCCTCCTAACTGGATTATTCTATAATTTGTTTCATCATGCCTGCTAAATGAAGGGCAAATAGAGGTTAGAGAACACTTAATCTGTAAATCTAACTGGGAAAGCAAGATCTTTCATTAACTTGGCCACCAGCGCATGAGCACAGAATGAACTATTTGCCTAAACAACCCAGAAACAAATAAACAAACAAGACAAATGATTTACTGGATTTCATCAGCCATGACGTGTTGATCTCAGTGGCATGCATTGCGTGCGGTTCAATGCTCTTGCATAGGAAAATGTGACGTAGTGTTTTATAGCCACTTTACATGAATTATAGATAATCTACATTTCATGACACCTATAAACCGTAACATGTTATGAAGCCGTATTATTTGAAAAATGCCTTGCCTGAGAGATTTCTTTTAGTACTACACAGTAGATCTCATATTTTCAACGGGATAATCGCCAGTGCTTCTGTGTCCTTGTTATCACCTCTCAGTTTCCTTGATGGCTCTATTTCCCATCTAAGCAGATGAAGAAATCTATCTTTCCACATACCAAGTGTCAGCAACAAGAGGCACCTGACCATTTCTGCCTCTCTGTGAGCTGTATAATGCATTAGAATACTATTAGGAGAAAACATGTCACAGCTCAAACCTCAATGTTTTATTTAGATATCTCGATGATGCTAACGATATCCCCATCGATTAATGACCCCAGAGACTTAAAAATGACCGTCCCTGTCCCATTTCTCACCACGGTATTGCCAGAAGGCCATTGTTAAATGTCAAGTGCTTTCATTATGATCTTCCTCGAAAAAGTCAGACGACATGTTGAGGGAAGATAATGTGACTTCTCCCACAGCAGAGAAAAGCGTTAAAAGCATTGGTGAAGCAGATTTTGCACTGGATAAGACTTTCTAATATTTTTTTTTTCTACAGCTTGCCTTGCTTTTTCCATGCAAAGATTTGACTGATTTGATTCCATGTTACGTTACTTATGTAACTGTGCGTGGATGAACAACATTAATAGAGATCTGCCAGTGAGTTGGGAAAATGACCTTCAGAACAGTTCTTGGGTTGCTGCTGGATACTAACTGCTCTAAATATGAACTGCCATAACACCCACAAAAATCTGAGATTCAGTGCCATACGCCCTATTTATGAAGTTGCCTGGGGTCAACCTAAAGATGCAGCTTAATTCGTAATGTGCTGCAATTTGTAATCTTCAAGAAAAATAAATAAATCATACACAAATTATATAAGCATATTATTTTTTTCCTGTGAAACAAACAGGACAATTTGGAATGTAAAAATGTGCTTTATTGATTGGCATAATTTTATTTTTATTTCAGTTTTAGTAATCTTAATTACATTCATTTTCACATTCATCTTATTTTCATATTTATTTTTAATAACAATTTAGCTTTATTTCAGTTTTTAAAAAAAAATGTAATAGTTGTAATTTTGTAATTGTAAAAATAACTACACAGAAATTCATGCAGGTTCAAAATGCATGACATGAGGGTGAGTTGATACAATTTTAAATTTTTTTAGGGTGAACTATTTCTTTAGTCTGACATCCTTTATCTGTGCCTCCTCACTTCTTTTTCATTGCTTTTATTCCACACAAAAGTTGAGTCACACTTATATACTGTCCCTCTCTGGCATCTCTCAAAGTTCCATATGTTGCATCATTTTGCATACTGTCTGTCTGCATTAACTGTCTGAACTGTGACTCAGTAAATGGCAGTTTGAACTGTTGCTAAATACTTTCAGAATGTAAAACACGATTTGGCCTCTCTTCTCTCTGACGTGCACCAAACAGTGAGCCATGGGGGGGGGAAAGTTTCCAAATTTGCTTCTAAATCCCAAATGTCAAAAGTGAAGTCAATATCTTCAGGGGAGACGGAGCGTAAAAGCTTAACTAACACTCCATTCACACCCCTGTCTTCCTGCAGGACGCTACTGTGAGGCTGAAGTAAATGAGTGCGATTCCAGTCCCTGTCAGCACCAGGGAACATGCACTGACTTTGTTGGATACTACAAATGTGCCTGTCCTTCAGGTATGAGTTTCTCTTACTCCTGAGTTTCTCTTACTGTGCCCCAAATCCCCACCTTGCCAGCACCAGTGGTTCTGACTGACAGCTGAGCAAATCACTCCCATTCTCACACTGCCAGAGCTCATTAGTACTGCAGAATTGTGTCAATATTGTGTTATGAAATGCTCTTCCCTTTTGAGGCCACTGCATTGATATGGTTCCCTCACGTAATTGTTGGTTCTGCTCACTCTTTCTGAGGCATGATTTGCATTCACTGATGCAACCTGATGGCTCACCCTAGAGATTGGCACTGGCGGGGTTACAAGCATGCTTTTCTGCCAGCTGCTCCCTTCCGCTCGATGAGTAGACGACCCAGAGTCCCAAACGCCCCCTCCCTAAACCTGCCCATGCGTGCTCGCCGCTCAGAGAATGAGATGCAAAAGAGAGAATCATCTGAATAACTCCTCATAAAAAGATTGAAGATGTTTTCTTTTTAAAAAGTAAAAAAGCTTGACTAGGCTATTGTGAAATAGTGGACATAATTTAGCAAAGATTATTGACTCAAAGTATGTAAAATTTATTTGAAGTTAGAGTCAAATATAAAATATTTGTCATCAAATTATTTCTCACATGAAACTGTAAGACTTTTTTCTGTGGGTATTTTGAAGAGGGTTGGAAAGCAAACAGTTTGAGGCATTTCTCAAAAATCTTTTATGTTCCACAGAAGAAAAAAAGTAATTCAGGTTTGTAACAGAGGGAGAGAAAATGACAGAATTATCATTTTTTGGGTTTAATGGCATTATAAATCAAAATTTTCCCTTTGAATTGGAACATGAGGCATTCCAGTTTGTTTGTTTTTTATTATTTAATTGAATTATTACTTAGATTGGTGTTGTTGTAAACAATGACTGCAAAATTATAAAATATTTCAATAATAAACCTGCTGGATGAAACACAACAGAGTGGAACAGAACGTAGGGGTCTCAATGTTTTTCAAAGTTGAGTTGTTTTTAACTGAATGTGTAAATAGACCAAGAAATAAAGTCTTAGTTTTTTTAAAGCTATGGAGTTATAAATGTAGTAATTTTAAAACCTTTTCTGAAAGCCTGTTAAAAGTATTAAAACCAAAAAATAAAGTAAAAAAGACATAAATTCACTAGTTGACCTCTCTAATCGACTGTAGTCGACCATCCTTCCTGACCCATCCTTAATTTTCATAAATGTGATCTTCCTGCTTAAACCTCTATGTGAATGCATTTTTAAATGATTGGTATTCATTATGTAAACCAAATGCAAGCAAGCCAAAAAAATTATCTCTCTCCAAAAGCCCTTGAACGAACTAGCCTGGCCTCTTTCTGACCTTTACAATTTTGTTCTTTTCACTTGGGCTGACTGGCTTTTGTGCTTTGAATAGGCTTTCAAAAATTGATTGCCATTTTCTTTTACTTTCTTTTTTTCCTAGAAACAAAGAGGGAAAAAAATTAAGAAATTTGCAGCTTGCTTCATGTTCATTGATTGACCTTATTGATTGAGGCACAATGACATGAGGAATATATGCGGTGCGTTCTCAAAGGCATTAACAAGAGCGAAGGCGTTTTAATCTTGTTTAATCTTTTAAATGTTGCTTTTGCACAAGGTACTTTTAGTTCCCAATCAAGGAAGCAGGGATGGTGAAGTCCAAGTGTTTCTTCAGATTGGTTTGTGTTTCTCACCTCCCTTTCCAGGATACACTGGGGTTGACTGTGAGGTTGACATAAACGCCTGTGCGCTTCCAAATGTCACCTGTCCCCCTGGAACGTTCTGTGTGGATTTGCCAGGTGACCAGCCCCATATATGTCACACTCAATGCCCTCGCTATCTACAGGTAGGTCAGAAGGGTTCAGCCCCCACTAGCCCCCTATACAATACACTAGTTACAATAACACTAATGTTTAGAACAGGAGGGTTTTCTTCAAGGAAGCAGTGTCTCCTCAATATACTGGATGAGAAAATAATTTGTAGTACAAAAATAAAACAATGCCACTATTACAAAATATAACATTAAAAAGTGTATAAATCCCTCATATTTCTAAAGAAACACTGTACAACAGCAACACCAGCAGGTAAAGTTACAGCGGGAGTCCGCGTCTCTCTCGCCTCCCCTGAGCCCATTGAGTTTTAACAGACTCCCTAAAGTGTGCAGTGAGTTTGGTGGGGGGTAATTGAGAAGGAATGGGGAAAGTCATGTTAGAGGAGGCAATGCCTCCATCGCAATATGATTGGATATGACTAGTTATGATTGGCTGCGATTGATTCATGCGATTGATTCATGCGATAAATCATGCGAACTCATGCGATTCATGCGAACACGCCCTCTTGTGCTTGGGCGTGTTCATGAATCAGTCTGAATGAACAACATAATGACGCTAATAGGAAGACTAATATAACAAAGTAAGTAAACAACTCACACACTTAGATATAACCACTTTGTTACATCAAAATAAGACTAAAAATGGCATGAAAACAATGCTCTGTGGGAATTTTTAGTGAGTAATTATCTTGGTGAAATGTAAAGTAAATCTCCATGTCTGTGACCAATATTTACCGAGCTTTGATGACTGATGATCAGAGAAAAAAAAAAAACACTAACTTGATGGGATTCATACTTGGCTTTAATAAATAGAATATTGATTACATTGTTAATGTAAAAATCTAAAATATAATTTTTTTCTTTTTCTTTCTGATAGTGTAAGAACTGTTTAATTAACCAAGAAAATGCGACTGGGACATGAATTTACATTTGATTAAAAAAAACTTAGACAAAAACGTAGTTCCCCTTCAGGAACTCGAGCTGCGTCGAGTCGCTTTGGGAACGCCCTTGCGTGACCGCGTTCTGAAGCACGTGTCAAACCCGTCCAATGGAGCAGCGAGACGTCACGAGCAGGGTGACGTCAGCACCAGAAAGCATAAAGGCACATCTGGCCGGGCGCAAACCAGCTTCTGCTCTTCAGTAGCGCTCTGTGTATGTGTCTGTCTATTTACTGTTGTCTGTCCGCACAAGCACTCATATATATAAAACAATGAGAAAGTCTATGGCGAGCGAACGGCATTACAAACGCTGTGTTTCTCCCTGCCCACGATATCTGGCGGCAGGGGATACACACGATGTGTGTGTCGTTTGTTTAGGAGCAGAGCATGCACGGTCAGCTTTCGAGCAGCTGATTGTCATCACTGCGAGCTCTCGCTGCGCACGCTCCGCTCTCGCCTGGCTGCGTTTGATGACAGCGGCCAGGCTCGCGATCCCGCTGGCAGCGGTCCCACTGTTGCCGAGGCACAGCGCAGACTGTTGTCGTGGGGATCCGAGACGGGCTCGTCCTTTTCTCGGTCCTCACCCACTAGATCCGCGGATCTCTCTCTCACGATTCGGAAGCCTGCGCTGCGGTTTCTCTCCTCCTCCCCCCCAGAGAGAGAGCCAGACGCTTCATCTGTCTTCCTCCGAGGAGGTGGATGTGACGAGTGTCGAGACAGAGGAGACTGTGGACTCGCCACCACAGTCCCTCGCGTATGACGTGTGATTTGTGATTATGGGGGGTGATTCGCGCCAAAAATAAAATATCGTTTGGCAAGCCTAGAAACAGGACGCTCGTCCTAAAAATAATTAGACGAGCATGTTCTGAATCCAGATCACAGCCTTCACGACGGGGGCCTTCTGTTTTTCCCGATCTCCATGCTGAGTGCCAAAGATCGTGGGAGAAACCGTACTCATCCCGTATTACAGCCCCACAGTCTCGAATTATTCAAAGAACATCGTGGGGCTGAATGATAAGGTATATGGGGCGATGCCAGTGGTGGAGCAGACGCTTGCGAGCTATCTCTCCCCATCCTCAGCATCGTCCCTGAAGGCCCCGAAGCTTCCCACCAGGCCCGTTAGGCTTACATCGAGTCTGGTTGGGAAAGCTTATACGGCGGTAGGTCAGGCTGGCGCATGTTTGCACACCAGGGTGGTGTTACAAGCATACCAGGCTGACCTGCTCAGGGGTGGGGCTGCTGAGCGAGCAGCAGCCCAAGTCATAAAGCTCCTTATATCGCCAGTCTCAAAAACAGAGCGTTGCAACCCGCACCCCTCCACAGAAAGATCGGGGGTCGGGCGATGCTCTCAGTTGGGGTCTTATAGACCGAAAACGGATCTGCGGACCGTTATTTGTCTAAGAGGACCTCGGCGAAATGGTCCTACCATTGTCAGGTCCCTGAGGGCAGCCCACCTAGCGAGGAAAGGATAACACCTCAGTATACGGTGCCCAATCCTCCTCAGTGCCCTCACGGAGGCTTATTGATACCCCTGCCACCCTCGGTGCTTCAGGGCTCAGTGAGCTCCGACGAGCGAAAATCCCAGCTGCCGCCTGGCAACGGTACGGCACGGGAGAGCTCGCCCCCTCAAGTGAGGGTGCTACAGCAGTCAGGTCGGTTGTTCCTTCAGTGCCCTCATGGAGGTTCATTTATACCCCTGCCACCTCGGCACTTCAGGGCTCAGTGAGCTCCGACAAGCGAATTCCCAGCTGCCGCCCAGCAACGGTACGGCACGGGAGAGCTCGCCCCCTCAACTGAGGGTGCTACAGCAGTCGGGTCGGTTGTTCCCTCAGTGCCCTCATGGAGGTTCACTGATACCCCTGCCACCTCGGTGCTTCAGGGCTCAGTGAGCTCCAATGAGCGAAATTCCCAGCTGCCGCCCGGCAACGGTACGGCACGGGAGAGCTCGCCCCCTCAAGTGAGGGTGCTACAGCAGTCAGGTCGGTCGTTCCCTGCCGGTCATCCGCTTCAGGGCACCGAACTGGCTCCTCTAATAATACCAGACGCCAGCCTCGAGAGGCTGGTTCCCTTAGTAGATTTTCTGGTAGCGTGGAAACTTCTACCAAATATCTCAAAATGGGTCCTGCAGATTGTAGAGAAAGGTGACAGAATCCAGTTCGGTTCTTGTCCGCCTCGTTTCAACGGGGTCACCCCCACACTAGTGGGCCCCCGAGCAGGCTCTGGTAATGGAACAAGAAGTAGATACTCTCTTGAGGAAGGGGGCCATAGAACGTGTTCCTCCTCTCGAGAGAGCGTCCGGGTCCTACAGCCGTTACTTCATCGTTCCGAAGAAGGATGGAGGGGTTGCGTCGGATCTTAGATCTCCGTCTTCTGAACCGCGCTATCAAACGGCTTCAGTTCAAG